CCGATGCCCCTCCCCTCACATCCACGCTTATTCCCCCGCGTTCTCATCCACAAATCAGTGCTGTATCATGGCCTGTCCAGGCCCCTTCCAGGCCTCCGGGCCCCCTCGTTCCCTCGTGTCATCACTCTCACCCACCCATCTCCTTCCCTCCTTCCCTCCCTCATCGACCCACTTTTCCCGCCAGCCGCCACGGCGCCGAGTCCGAGAAGATCGGAACGAATTTGTTGATCTCTTCCTTCTGGCCTTGGAGGATGCACTCGGCGATCCAGACGAGATTCCTGAGAGGGAGGAAGTCACCAAGTGAGTAAATCCATGATAAAAGCCCCCCAACCGCCTAGACAAAACATAGCACGCCCCATTCCTTCCTATCCCCCCCTCCCTCCTCCCACACCTGATCTCCTGCTCCTTCAGCTTCACGTAGGCGTAGAAGGAGGCGAAATGCATCTGTCCGTCGAAGGCCATCTCGAAGGCTCGCACGTCCTGCTCGTAAAACACGTCCTCCAAGGTCTTGTCCTGGGAGACAAGGGGGGGGAAAGGGGGGTATAGGGGCCCGTTGAGACGCACTATTCATAGAAGCCAGCCGCGTCCGGGGCGGCATCGTCCCGCCGGAGGAGGAAAGAAGGAATGGGAGGGTGAAAGGGAGGGAGGAAACGAGGGAGAGGTGACAAGAACCTTCAAGCCCGCGAGGGAGGCGTAGAGTTTTTGGTACTCGGGCACGGCGCTGAGCGCGTATTCGATGTTGTTCTCGTCGGTGACATCGGCCAGGCGGGCGGTCCCGGCGGGGTACAGGTAACCAACGGCAGGGTAGAGCTTCTGACGGGTGGAGCGCATGGCGGGCTCGTTGAGGGGGGTGCCGATGCTGGAAAAGGGAGAAAGGGAGAGAGGGAGGGAGGGAGGGAAGAGGGAGGAAGGGAGGGAGGGGATCGTTGAGGAGGAGAAGGCGAGCCCGCGGGGGAGGACGGGGAGCAGGGAGGGAAGGGATACCTGTTCACAGTGATGTTGATGGCCATTCGGTCCGCGCGCAGCATGATCAGGTGGCCCATAAAGTTGGCGGTCTCCCCCCCTATGGCCTGAGTGACCCTGTAGAAGTCCTCGAGATAGAGCTTGTGGAGCGAGTTCTTGATGACCTGGTGGGATGCAAGGGGGGAACGGCGGGTGTCATCTTCACGGAAAAGGACACGGGCGGATTGGATCGGCCCTCTACTGGCGCCTACGCTCCCCACCCCCGTCCCATGACCCATGGCACACCCCCAGAGCTTCCTCTCCGCCGTCGTCGGTCCCGACCACGCCCCAGCCTCCGTCACGCCCGCCTTTCCACCTACCTCAATCTGAACTTCTTCCAGAATGTTCCTCATCTCCGAGGCCTCCCCCAGATGCTCTGCGCTGTCCTCCAGGTACTGGGAGAAGTAGGGGCCCACGGGGGTGTCGATCAGGACCGTCTGGTACAGGTCCGCGTACCCCTTGGGCGAGGCCTCGAATGTGGGGATGGAACGCATCGTGCTCTCTTTGAAAAGCCCCAGGGGGTTGCACTGCTTGATGAGCTCGTTCGCGCTTCGACCGCTCAAGGTCCCCTTCAACAGAAGCATCACGTTATCGATCATGAATTCGTAGGATATGTAGTCCAGGAACGTGGCCAATGGCTCCACCGCGTGTGCGCGCAAGAAATCCATTTCCTGCACCAACTTCTGCAAGGCCTTCTCGCGGAAGGAGGCGGGAGTGATGTGCTGCTCGTTCGACATGAACTGGTCGTAGTCCGTCTCCTGCAGGTTCATCTTCATGTCCTCAAGGGTCTCGCACTGGGGAGTGCAGGAGAAGTAAAGGGGGAAATCAGACAAGATCGACTGTTGTTGCACTTCTACGCTATGATGCACCCTCCAGTGTCAGCCCCTTTGCCACGGCACCAGAGCATGCCCTGTCCCAAGTCCCGACACGCGTCGCCGCTGTCGCAATTCTCCAGTGCTCTCAGACATACGACACGGCGCCTGTTTTGGGCCGCTACTCCCACCCACATCCTCCTCAATAAGACGGCTCCCCCAATGTACCTGCGTCAGATGGTGGTAATCGTAATCCGTCAAAAGGCCCGAGCGGAACCCCCGCACGACGGCCTCCGGAAACCCATGCTCCAAGTTGAATGTGCCGATGCCTCCAGCATCCATCACGTCTGTTGCTACCGACATACTGTCTGACCGTGTGTATATTTTCGAATGATGTCTTCTTTAAATTCTTGCTAATAGTTGCTTGGAATTTCTCCGCTTCTCAATTCCTGTTGTTCGTCAATCCGTTCGCTCACACGGAATGGACAAACCCCACAAGCACCTCTCCTCCTTATAATGCGGATGCCGCTACGGCTGCCTCTACACCAAGGGAGGCCTGCACAAAGAAATTCACAGAGAGAAGTATGAGCTTGATATACGAGACTGCGACAAACATTCCTGTCCCCCTGTTAAAAACTATGGGAGCGGTAGGGAATCTTACCAACCGCCACAAGGCTCGAGCACGAAACCCCTCTTAATCTCTCCAAAAGGAAAGAAGCATCAAGACCTCTCGTACACTGCCCACATAGCCCAATCCGTGTACGATACGGGGGGCATCCCATTTCCCACTATCTACTGCATTGAAATTTTCAGTGCAACAGCGCACGAGTCTCGCCGTAGGGCCATGGGTACCTTTTCCATCACGTCATCGCCTTCCAGATGGCGACGCTTGCACTTGGAGAGGTCAAAGCTATGCCTATGAAGAAAATCGTTTCCGGCAAAGAAAAGGAACATAAAGATCATTCAAAAGATTTATTTTCCTCTTTGCGAGGAAAGCCATGTCCGAAGTACCCCCAAAAATTCCTGGAGAAAAATTATGCGCTTTTTTTAAAGAAAACAAAAATCTTCTCCTTTCCCTAGCCAGTTACTCAAGAAAGGTTTTCTCCTGGACAAAAAATATATATGTATATATATATATATACAAGTTTCTTTTCTAGGAACGATATTTTCCTATATGGATTGTTTTTTGTCTCCTGACCAGCCACCCAAAATAAGTTTCCTTGGCAAGAAAACTTGTTTTTCTGTGAAGGAAAGAATTAAGGAAGATAATGATACTTCCCAATTATAAAAATGTCTCTTTGCAAGAAAAAGCAAAACATTAATTCTCGCCAGCAAAGGGAATCAAACTTTCTGGCAACAATACAAACCAACTGTTTCGCGGCAAGAGAAGAATTGATGTTCTCAGGTGGCCTATTTTTTACCCCATGCATATCCACATCCCACACAGTCCAATAATCAAAGGCTTCTCAGATTGCCCAAATTTCATCTCATGCTCATCCACGTCCCACCTTTTCCATTCCCAACTTGTGCCACCTGTTGCGGCTTCTGTTTTGATTCGGCCACGGGTTGTTTGGATCGAAATGGCGGTACTTGACGGCCAGGTAGTCCTCAGGATGCTCTGTTGCAGCTAGGAGGTGCTGTGCGAGTGTGCCCTCATCATCGACGGGCCGCACCTCGTTGCTCGACGCCACGTCTCCCCTCTGTTCCGTTTCGTGTTTTTTCTCCCACCAGAAGTCGTGGCTCCCGCGAACATGAGGGTGCGGGACGGCTCGGTCACTGACTAAGCAGATTTATCAGTCGTCCCCTCGAGGCGCGCCGAGGAGCTCGAAAGGGAGCTCAACTCCATCAAGTCCTGCGACTGGGAGGATCGTAGCATAATCCTGCTTAGGCGAGGAGGTTTGAGCGTGCATGCATTTAAGTGTAGATAAATTTGATTGTAGGTTGGAAAAAACTAAACAATTTCCATTAATCAAGGGTGCACTCATGGCATCGCGAAGGAAAATTTTCTTCGGAAGGAAAGAAAATATTTTTTCTATGAAGATTTCTTCGGAAGAAAAGAAAAGGTTTTATCTTTGAAGAAAAGCGGCGATCCACCTCCACGCCGGGGGTACCTTTTCCATCACGTCATCGTCTTTCTCATTGTGGACCTCTTCCAAGCCCGGGGGTACCTTTTCCATCACGTCATCGTCTTTCTCATTGTGGACCTCTTCCACGCCCGGGGGTACCTTTTCCATCACGTCATCGCTTCATCCCGTTCTTCTCCTTCGTGCTCCGGTGAACCGATCGTATTTCCAACCTGAACAAAATGCCGGACGATCCTCACGACGCGTGCTCACACACACCAAGACAGGTGATAAATTCGTCCTTGTATCCAAGCGAGTGCTGGCGGGACGGTGCTTTCACATCGGGTGCGTTGGAAGGATCCCTTTGAGGAGTATAGCAGCAGACGCACCTTCACGCTAGCTTCCCGTGTAGCCGAAGCATCATGCTCGACATGCACGCGGACCAAATCCTGACCATCAGGACCCCTCCACCGATTAATGAGGTGCGACGACAGCCAACTTCTCATCTCCGAGCCCTCGTGCTCATCATGGCGTCGTTTCTCACAGTTGGTAAGGGATTTTTCCAGCAATCACGTCTAATATCTGTGATTTTTTCTTAGCTGGAACTCCGAAGTGCTGTTGAAATTAACATATAAAGCGAGCAATTCCACTTGAGATCGTCCCTAACATTGACTTTCCCGCTCCACTTGATTTTTCCATCATGTGCGCCTTCTCCAGGGAGCTACTACGTTTACGGTACGTGCCAGCCTGCCGTTTTTAAGCGTTATCGAAGGAATCCGTTTTGCTTGTGATTTTGCTTTGTTTTCTTTTCGTCAAGCTCGGAATATCTTCACTGTCTTCCACGTGTGACCGTTGCCAATGTTCAGCAATTGTAAGTGACCCCCAACCCTTCCTGCAGACACGCCCTCGTCCCTCTACGCCCAAATCCAAGAGCACTTCCTGTTCAACAACAACGGTTTCACCTCCCAAGCTGCCACATTCCAGCTGTATTTCAACCTCCTCTATTCCGTATACTCGGTCCCCAATATCCTCCTGCCCTTCCTGGGAGGCCACCTGGTCGACACGGTGGGGATGCGCGCCTGCATTGTGGTCTTCTCCCTCCTCGTCCTCCTCGGCCAACTCATCACCGCCCTGGGCATCACCGTCCACTCCATGGGCCTCATGCTCCTGGGCCGCCTCATCTTCGGCCTGGGAGGAGAGTGCCTGGTCGTGGGGCAGTCGGCCTTCATCTCCGCCTGGTTCCACAGCCGGGAGGTTGCCTTCGCCCTGGGCTTCACCCTCTCCGTGTCCCGCTTTGGGAGCGTCTTGAACGACTGGGGCAGCCCCTTTATCGCTGAAAAGGCGAACGTGGTGACTGCGTTCTGGTTCGGCGCTCTCCTTTGCCTCGCCTCCACTATCACCGCCTTCCTCCTCGCCTGCATCGACCATAACCATCGGTCTCGGCACCACGGCCGCCCCGACCCCGCCGTCCTTCCCCCCACAGCACCCACTTCTCTCACCTCGGCCGGCATGAAGAGCCCCCGTCCCGACGGTCCCGCCCTGACCCCATCCCCCACCTCCGGGTCGCATCCCACGGAGACCGAGCACGCGGGCTTGATCGGCAGCTTGAGCCACCGAGGCACCTACTTCGAGACGCCGCACCCCTCCTTCTACGGCCCCCCGTCCCAGCACACGGTCCGCTCTTCCTCCTCCTCGCGCCAGGCGCCTCGGGAGAGGGCCTGGGAGGAAGACCGAGAGGAAGGACCCGTGGCATCAGCGCCGGCCGCCACGACCAGCACCCTCGTCCAGGGGGGGCAGTTTCCGCACGAGGCCTTGCGGGCACGCCTGGAGCATTTGGCCCAGTTGGATGCGGCCGTGGACGCGATCGACGAGGACCACCTCTGGCATTTGATGGGCTTCGATACCATGTTTTGGATTTTGGCCGGCGTCTGCGCGCTCTGTTACGGGGCGATCATGCCTTTCAACAACGTGGCCCAAGTCTACCTTTTGAAATACTACCTGCCCATCCACACGCCCCCGCCTGAAGGCGTGGATTGCTCCTTCCGCCCTGTCCTGCCCGAGTGGGAGAAATATTGCGCCGAGGTCGAGCACGTGGAGGGCCTGGCCGGGAGGTTGCAAAGCGTGCCCTTTATCATCGCCGGACTGCTCACGCCCTTGATCGGCATCGTCATCGACCGCTTCGGCTTTCGGACCCTCTACATGCTCTTGGGCCCTCTCCTCCTCCTTGCCACCCACTTTATCCTTCTTGTCGGGGGAACCTCCCCTGTGGTGCCCCTGGCGGGACTGGGCTTGGCCTATTCCATCATCGCCGCGGTCATATGGCCCTCCGTTCCTCTCACGGTACACGCAAGCGAGAGCTCCCGGAGATGCGGCACGGCCTTTGGCATTTTGACCGTGTTCCAAAACCTGTCCATGGCGCTGTTCCCCATGGCGGTGGCGGCGCTGTCGAACGTAAAGCACGACTACGTGACGACCGAATACTTTTTCATCGCCGTGTCCGTGACCGGCGTCATCGCAGCAGTGTGTTTGATGGTGGAGGATGAGAAACACGGGGCGGTGCTGAGGAAATACGTGGTGGACGGGGAGGAGACTAATCCTTACCACCCACTACACCCGTTCCACCATGGCCACGCTCCCCCGCACCTGGGAGGGGAGGTGGTGCCTGCACGGTGTGAAAGAGAGGAGAGCAATGAGTCCAAAGCGAACGGGAACGAGGAAAACCGACGCTTAACGGCACCTAAAAGGCCGTTTCGGGATTATAGCACCATGAGTGTTTGAAAATGTGGGTGTACGGAAATGTGAAGTGAGCAGGCTCGTCGAAATGAAGCAAATTTCATTGACGAAAAGAACCATTCGAAAGTAGATCTACTTGTAAATTTTATCGCGTCAAAGTAATTTGTTTTTCCGCAGATCTGACATGACCAGCACTAAAAGATGCAAATAATTATACCTCCGACAAATCTGTCGGTGAGAGCTTTGCGAGGACGACGTGTGACAGGTCCATTTATTAAAATCGAATATCTGTGCGACATTTTTGGGTCATATGAGCAAACAGGGGTACGCGACGACAAATTGGCCGACAACAACACATTCATGGTCGAGGAAATGGCATTCATACAGGAAAGTCATCAGAGGCAACAGCCGGGGGGGAAGGAGGTAGAATTTTCATCCCTCGGGTACACCAGCATTACATGGCATGGTTTTTGGCCTTTACTCAGCGAGAAAAGCTCGTGAAAATTGCCTCAAACAATTCTGTCGGTCACTGAGAAACGGGGTTAGTGCGGAATAGTTGAAAAAGTGTACACGCGAATCCCGTGTGGCTAGCTTCTCGCTTCTTTTGTTCCGGAACTGACTACTAGTTTATTTAAGCGAGTCGCCACTGTCGGCGCATCTCCCTAATGCATCTTCAACGCTTTAAGGGCCTTTGTATTATGTTCAAAGGCCCCTAATCTTTTTAAAATTGCAAAATGAGCAATGCAAGCAATCTGAACTTCTAGTTGCAAGGTTGGTTGTGACGCACGCTGCACTTGCCACATCGTATCTTTTCCACTGACCACTATCAGGAACAAGCACATAGATAGCTGGTTCGCCCTTTTACCCCTTCGTGAACCTGCGGCAGGCAGCATGCTTTGGTCGTCCGCGCCGTCCCGCTTGCTGTCCACTCCAAGCTCTGCTTTACGCTCTTTTCCCTTCTTCGCCCTTCGACGCCACTTCGCACAGGGCTTCCTTGTCAAGGGCGAGACCCCTCACTCCTCCCCTCTCTGCCCTCTTGGCAAACATCGCCGGTCGCATTCGTCGCGTCTCAATCGATCGTATCCGTTGCTGAGGGTGCATTCAACCACGTCGTTTGGAGCAGGCTCAACCATGGCGACACGCGACGAAACAGACAGGTAGGGATGCAAGTGAGTGGTCTGATCGTGCTCCCGTTCTCCACTTTGTCGAGAACCCTGAACACGTCAAGATTTGGACGCGTGCAGATCGTGTTACCTACGACACGGAACGAATACTCCCCATCGCGTTTTCGAAATAGTCATGACGGGTCCCTGGTGTATTCAACCACCTGACCTCCGCCTCTCTCCCAGTATGGGTGTCATCCAGGTCCCTGCCGACAAATACTGGGGCGCCCAGACACAGCGCTCCCTCAAATACTTCAACATCGGGCACGAAACCATGCCTCGAGAAGTTATCCAGGTAGGTTTCCTTGGATTGTATCCTCTTCCTCCGCGCGGCCCCATCTCTGGCGCGGGCGCCCTCTCCTTTCTCTTCCCCTCCCTGCCACTCTTTGCCCGCACCCCGCGCATTCCTCGATGACATAAGGCACCGTCGCGGTCTGTCCTGCATTTAGCCTCCTGTTTCTCCTCCCTCCCTCCCTCCTTCAGGCTCTGGGCATCGTCAAGAAAGCCGCCGCCAAGACGAACGCGGAACTAGGGCTCCTGACCCCCGACATCGCCGCGTTGATCGACAGGGCCGCCGACGAGGTGATCTCCGGGGCCCTGGACGCACATTTCCCCCTCCGCATCTGGCAGACGGGGTCTGGGACCCAGAGCAACATGAACGCCAACGAAGTCATCTCGAACCGGGCGATCGAAATGGCGGGCGGGACGATGGGCTCCAAGCTCCCGGTCCACGCCAACGACCACGTGAACCGTTCCCAAAGCAGCAACGACGTTTTCCCCACCGCCATGCACGTAGCCGCCGTCCTCTACGTCTCGGACGCGCTCCTCCCCCAGCTACGCTCACTCCAAGGGGCCCTGGAGGATAAAGCCCAGGCCTTTCAAGGGATGGTCAAGATCGGGCGTACCCACCTCCAAGACGCCGTGCCCATGACCCTGGGGCAGGAATTTGGCGGGTATGCGGCGGCGCTGGAAGGTAAGGGGGGAGGGAGGAGGGGGGGGAGGGGAGGGGAGGGAGGGAGGTCGCGACCGGGGGAGGGCAGTGGTGCGTGGCACGTCGATCCAGACGATCCATGTGGTGGAAATCCAGCCCTGGCTGAGTCTGTCCCCCTTTCCCTTTCTCGAAACTCCCCCAGTGGACGTCCAAGGCATCGCACACGCCCTCCAGGAACTCTACCCCTTGGCGCAAGGCGGGACGGCCGTGGGCACGGGCCTGAACACGCACCCCAAATTCGCGGTCACAGTGGCCGCCGAGATCGCTCGATTGACCGGAAAACCTTTCGTCACCGCGCCCAACAAATTCCAAGCCCTGGCCTCCCACGGCCCCGTGGTCCTCTTGAGCGGCGCATTGAAGGCGGCTGCGGCCGACCTGTTCAAGATCGCGAACGACGTGCGCTTCCTCGCGTCGGGCCCCCGGTGTGGGCTGGGGGAATTGAACCTCCCAGAGAACGAGCCAGGCTCCAGCATCATGCCGGGGAAGGTGAACCCCACCCAGTGCGAGGCCATGACCATGGTCTGCGCGCAGGTGATGGGGAACGACGCGGCGATCGGATTCGCGGCCTCCCAGGGGGCCTTTGAATTGAACGTGTTCAAGCCGGTGATCATCCAGAACATCATGCAGTCCTGCCATCTGTTGCATGACTCGGCGCGGTGCGGAGGGAGGGAGGGAGGGAGGGAGTGCATGGGAGGGGGGGAGGGGGGGGGAGGAGGACCATGGTTGTTTCAAACAAAAAAAAGAATGTTTGCATGGGAATCGGCACACAGGTGCGTCCACGAGGCGTGTTCACACGAGTAACGGGCACTCTCTGGCCACCGTCTTTCCCCTTGTCTTCCCCTCTCCGACCAGAAATTTCCGCGAATACGCGCTGGAGGGACTGACTGTGAACCACGACCGGATTGACAAGTACGTGCACGAGTCCTTGATGACCGTCACGGCCTTGAACCCGCACATCGGGTACGACAAGGCGGCGCAGATCGCCAAGAAGGCCCACCACGAGAAGTCGACCCTGAAGGAGGCAGCCTTGGCCCTGGGGATCCTGACAGCCGAGCAGTACGATGCCTGGGTCCAGCCGGAGAAGATGGTGTGAGAGAAAAAGGAGGGGCGCGGTCGGTGCGGAAAAGTCGATGCCAAGATTGCGCGAAGCAATGCCGGCGTGGCGTCCTGGTCAAGACGCCACGAGGACGAACGGGGGGGGGGGGACACAAATGAAAAAATGACCACGTTCGTGAGCGATCCTTTCTTTCTGTCTGTACAGTCCTTTACATGCCTCGCTCATGTTGCCAGCCCCCCCCCTGGGCGCTACCGAAAGACGTCGCCTTTCTTGGTGTTGAAAGGGGTGGCCATGCTGTTCACCATCCGCACGCTCCGAGACACCACCGTCCCCGACGGATTCACACTCAACCCGCGCGCCTCCGTCCTCAGCTTGGTGGCCATCTCGTCCAATTCCTCCCGCTCCTCTTCCGGGAAACACAAACGTTTCTCCGCGGTCGCCTTGAAGAGTTCCTCGATCGACGCCTTCGCCCACGAATGAAAATTTTGCTTGAGGGCCGTCCTCAGACAGGCGAGGATGGCCTTCCGTCGCTCTCGATCCGCCAACGTGTCGTCTTCCCTCAATTTTTCCAGGGCCGTGACGTACTCTCTGATCCGCCGCGCCGCACGTCGGAATGCAAAGGTGTCGTCCGTCAGAAGCTCAGGACGCAGTAACCCGACCAAGATCCAACTGGCGGCTCGATACTGCGCACTCGGCTCGAAGAGAAGGATGCGATCCCGGACCGCTGCAAGCAACGCATGCGCCAAAGCGCGGTCTTCCGCTCCTGGCCCTAGGAGACGCTCCCACACTCCCTCCGAGGCCATGAAAAAGCCGAGGGCGGCATGGAACTGAGAGGCGTTTTCCGTGTTCATCTCAGCTGTCAGCAATTTGATCAGCAAGCCCATGGCTTTCCGACTTTTTTCGAGCTTGGGCGAGGTCAGGGCGCGGGTGATTTTCTGCAACGCCTCGTGCAGTTCCAACGTTTTCGGCTCCGAGACTGCCATGGGGGGGGATGGACAACCTTCCTTTTCTCGTGCCCGCTTTGCCTCGGGGCCATGCACCATTTCTTTTGCTTGCTCGTTGTCTACCGAGGATCCTGGTGCTGTGGCCGCGCGCTTCTGACTTAGCCGCTGTTCCTGCGCCTTAGACTGCTCATGTTGCGGTGCCGGTCTCTGAGAGCTCGACGCTTCCCTCGTAGTAGAAGGCAGGTCCCCAAAGAGGCCGTCAAGTGGATCTGACATGTCTATCCTGCTTGTCCATGGTTGTGATGTACAATGAGCGACGTCCGGTGACAACGCTATCAGAAAGAGGTCTGTCCATCGCTATTGAATACACCCCTGAGGAAAGCTGATCAAGGTAAAAAGCATTGAACATGTCCTCAAGTTTCGTACTTATAGATGAGTTATCTTAATTCACTCGTTGAGATCAACGTTGAGCACTAAAAACTGTTTGTCGAGACCCTGCCAAGGCGTAAATAAATTTAAGTTTGCATCGATCTGTGTTGTGGACAGCCGCCTTTTTCCGGTAGGAGGTTATGATCCTGGACGCATCAGCTACTTATCTACCAACAGTCGTCTTAAAGTGATGTTTGATGGCTCATTTTAGCGCCGTATGTTTGTTTTACACCTCTAGGTCTTTCCTTTATGAAGCGGCGTCGAGAGGAGGGCGCAGGGGCCCGCAATGCCGGGAAAGGTAATGATTGCTATTGTACTCGGGGTTGACATGAGTGGGCGGTACTTCTGAATACATTTCTTTCCATTCAAACCCACCACTTTCTCAATACGATTGGAAACACATAAGATTTATGCATATATTAAAATTGGTGTGTGGACTTTGCCACGGCCTTTTGCTTCCATTCCCATAAATTCTAACTCCCGTTTACTTGCATGGACATCCTCTAAGTACCTTCATTTGTGAAGGCCTCTCCTCGTCAGGGCGGCGCTTGATATAATTTTCGGAACACGAGACATAGCTTAATTTTCACCATGATCCTCAACTCATTTGTCCCCAGACGATCCTGCTGAAGACCCTTTGGCGGGGCGGCCCGGACCCAAGCTTTTCATCGGATCTCTCGCGAAGAGCGTCCAGGAAAAAGATGTGCTCAATCTTTTCCTCCCGTACGGAAAAGTCGTGGACATTGCCTTTTTCTGGCACATGCATGGGCCGCGCAAAGGCGAACCGAAAGGTTTCTGTTTTGTGACGTACTCCGGAACCGAGGAGGCCACGTCTGCCATCAGGGCCTTGGACCGACGCCGTCTCCACGGGCGCTCCATCGCGGTGCGCTATCAACGAGACGCAGACGACACGAACATGGACGCGCGGACACTACTTTCCAAAGCGCGTGCAAAAAGCCTCCAGCAGAGCGGAGGGGGAGGGACGGGGGGGGGCGCGCGACCGAGGGAGAGGGAGATCGGCCCGGCAATGCCCCTCCCGAGGCCCAGCTCCGCGACTTTGAGAGGGGTGAGCGGTGGGGGCGAGGATCAAAAAGATGGGGCAGGGGGGGATGATGATGTGGAAGAGACGGCGTTGGAAAGCAAGATCCGTCTTCTCAAGGCACACAGGG